TTTGGCCATCGCGTCAAGGTCCTCAGCGGCTGCGAGTAGGGCGTCGTGTGTTGGGTCCACACGGTACTCTCCGAGTGGGGTAATGTCGTCGTCGGGGCGGTTGTACAGTTGCTCGATGTTGGTGTCGCTCTCAATGTAGATGCTGACGTGTACTGGCGTAGTGGTGAGCCCGCCGTCGATGCCGTTTCGTCGCAGGGTTGCTTTGCAGTGGGCAGCAGCAGGGCGCGCGCTCGGGAAGGCGAGGAATGTTCGTCTCTTGGGGCCCATGCGCGTGCCCGCGCGGAGCCGAGCCAGTTACGCCACTCGGGAGAGGTCTCGTTGATACCAGGCGTCGGAGATCTGCTCATCGAGGAAGTAGTTCCACCAGGCCTGCTTCCACTTGGCATGTTCTCGGAGTCGTCGTGAGATGTCGTGTAGGAGGGCATTGTCCACGGCGACGCCGCGGTCGCTTAGTTGCGCTCGTTCTCGTAGCAGCTGGCGTCGTTGATCCTGAGCTTCTCGGATCCATGGGTGGGCTTGCTTTCCTGTCGGGGATAGTGTGGCGCGGCTGCCGTGCGGATGAGGTGGGCGACGAGGGCGGCGTGGCGACGGGGATGTTGGTCATATTGAAGTACCCGTAGTTTGTATCGGCAGTGCTGGATGTGATGGTGGAGGTCATGAAGGAACTCGGGGCGTCGGTATCCAATCTGGAATCCAGCGGCAATGTAGGCCCAGTCCCAGCGTATTGTATTGCGTGGCGTGGTGGGCTGTGGGAGGGGCAGCTTCAAGTGAGCATGGGCATGTGATCGTTCATGTGGGAGAGTGTGCGGAGGCGTTGGTGCGATCTCCAGCATAGCCTAATTTGGTTGACGATAGGCATGGCATCCGTCGGGCGGATCCAATTGTTAATTCTATTTTGCGCACCTCCATTTCCAAAGAAAGTTGATCCTGTGTCCCAGGACGTATTAAACGCTGTGAGCGGATTCCGTAGAAGTGATTCATGTATGTGCGTGCCCACCGTTGTCTCTGGAGCTGCTTGCATAGGTCCAATGCTGTCGTCTGTCCATAGCGATCGGTGCCGTCTGCCAAAGCCTTGATTAATGTCGCCGAAGAAAAGGGGGTTGTTCTAGCTGGGCGCGAGTTGAATTCAGAAACAATCCATTGCCAGAGTCGCTTACATGTACTCTCCATCTGCTTTGTCGATGTGCGATGGCTCGCTGGTGGGAAATCGCCGACAATCAATCGTACTCTGAAATGGCCGCGGATGATGTCAACTGAGCCGCCACGGCCCTGTAGGGATGCTGGTGGAGATGCAATACGTACCAAGTGTCGGGGATGGAATCGTCGTCGAGAAATCGCAATCGCACATCCGCATGCTGCTGTGACGAGTGGACCGCGTCGCCATCCCCAGTGGACCCAGAAATGTCCGTCAGTCTGCTCGCTGTGGTGGGCGTAGTGGGCGACCTGTCTGACGTGTGTACCAGGAAACAGCATCGCGTACTGGTCCCTGAACTCGTAGCTGATGGCCCGACGTGCGGCCGTGGTGGCTGAGCAAGGAATAGGGGTTCCAGCCGATGAACTTCGCTGTCTCGAAGGTGGACGTCGTGGGGCGAAGCTGCTCGCCTCCTGCCTCGGGCACTCCGATGTTCATGCTGAGCCGCGCCAGCGGCGCACGCGGAGCGTTCAGCCGCGGCGGATTTGCGCCATGGCAGGGGGCCACTGCAACGATCGATGGTTTGGGGCAGTGGGCATACGATGTGAGAGGCCGATTCTCACGAGCGGACTCGAGCCGTCCGCAGCCTTTGAGACCGGCTTTTCATTCTGAGTCGTTTTTTGACGCTCCCGAGGCCCGGTGAGGGCCCCCTGAGGCCGAAAATAGCGAAAAACTGTCCGTCGTGTTTTTTTCACAGCGCGAGGGTGTCTGGGTCCGCGTCCGTCGCCGCCGAACGGCGTCAGCACCGCCGTCGTCCAAGCCGGGCGGCGGTCTGAGCGGGTCGTCGCCGGCGTGGAGGCCGCCGAGGCGCCTGGGGCGCGATCGGTCCGGCAGCCGCGTGGGCTGCGGGCCTTGTGTGGCCCGGGCTGGGGGGGAGGCAGCTGCCTCCCTGTCCTCCAGGCCTCCAAGATGGGGTCCGAGTAGAGAGGGGGGGCCCTGCCAAAAAGCACCCTGCTCGCCTGCAGAGTGCCCTGGGATTCTTTGGTTTCGATGGCTTTGCTGCAGAAAGCGCGACGTTCCCACATGAAAACAAGGGACGCCCTGGGGTCTCAGGGTTGGGTTTTTTGTGGAAGGCTTCCTGTGGAATGGCACCTGCTGTAGATGGGGTCGGAGGGTCGCGCGGCCCCGCCGATGCACCAGCGATGCGGCTCGAGGCGAAGCCCAGTTTGCTCCACGCGGACGGCGCCGATGCACCGCCCACCCAGAGATTTGACGTGGGAAAAAATTGCAGCATCGTAAAAATCCGCGCCTGCAGCTCCGGACCCCATATTTCTGCGTCGCTTCTCGAGCCGGATCGACTTGTGTGGGTCCTGGGACCCAGAAAAATGCGAAAACGCCCGGCTCGAAACAAATGAGTCGCCAGGATCTCAGGGGACGTCGCCGATGCATCGCCGACGCATCGGCGATGTATCGCCGATGCATCGGCAATGCGGCGCGATCCTCCGACCCCGTCTGCTCGGACCCCATCTTTTAGGAGGGAAAGAAACACACAGACACAATTTATCGTCGACTTCCAGGAAAATATGGGAAAAGATGGGAAAGGTGGGGGAAGACGAAAAACCAGAAAACATGAGAACATATTTGGAAATCCTGGGGTTTGTGTGTAGCTATGTGTGTGTCCCTGGGCCCCTTGAACCCAGGAGGCCTCCCCATTCCGCAGGGGAGGTGCGAGGGCGCGAAGAACCCAGACCCCTCCGCGCTGCGAAGCAACATCGCGGCGGGGTGGGTTTTCTATATTTTCAGCCTCTTCCTCCTCCTCCTCCTCCTCCTCCTCCTCCTCCTCCTCCTCTTCTCACTCCTCCTCCTCCTCCTCCTCCTCCTCCTCCTCCTCCTCCTCCTCCTCCTCCTCCTCCTCGGTATGCCTGTCCTTCCGCATTCCTTCATACAGTAGGAGCTCGACCACAAGAAGCCCAACCCTGAGACCGCAGGACGTCCCTTGGTCTCTGGTGTGGGAGCGCCGTGCTCCCCACCGACAAGCCATCGGGACCGTCAAGGAACGACTCGGGCTGGAGAACCTGTCCCGTGGGGAAGGGGTCCGGACCTCCCTCGGGGGGCCCGCGCGCGTCATGGGAGAAGAGCACGACGTCGGGGTCGTCTGGGGAGAGTGCGCGGGGCTCACGGTCGGGAGCTGCGGCTCGGCGCGCGTGGCTCCGCCTCGACACGCGGAGCATGGCCCCATCGTTCTGGGCCTCTTGGATGGGGTCGGGGTAGCGAGATGGGGTCGGAGGATCGCGCCACATCATCGAGGCATCGGCGATGCGGCTCGATGTAAGGCCCAATGTTCTCCACGCGGGCGTCGCCGATGCATCGCCGACGTCGCCGATGCATCTCCGACGACGCCAGCGCATCGCTGGTGCATCGCCGATGCATCGCCGATGCACCTCCGATGTATTGGCGATGCGGCGCGATCCTCCGACCCCATCTACTCCGACCCCATCTGGGAGGCCTCAAATTTTCGAGCGCCAGCGTCCCGAGCCCTCCCAGGAGGAGGAGGAGGAGGAGGAGGAGGAGGAGGAGGAGGAGGAGGAGGAGGAGGAGGAGCGACACCGCCGTCCGCTCGCAGGGGCAGGGCGTGTCGCGGGGGGCCGCCGCCGGGCCGGGGCGGCCGTGGGCCCGAGGCTTCCAACGTGCTGAAGACAATGGTGCGGATGCTTTTGAGGAGGGAAAAGACACACAGGCACAACTAATCCTCGATTCCCCAGGAAATATGAGAGAATGTGGGAAGTGGGGGGGAAGACAAAAGGCCAGAAAATGTTTGAAAATATGGTGAATATTTTAATGTGTGTTTGTTTATTTGTGTGTCCCAGGGCCCGTTCAGTTTTTTCTGGGAGAAAAAGAACGCCATAAGCAAAAACTGTTGGCGCTCCGCGCGGATTTCTTCGACCCGCGCTGGGCCCCCCTGCGGCGCCTCTGGCGCCGCCCCTGGCGCGCTCTGCGCGCCAGGGAGGGGGTCCAGCGCAGATCCAAGAAATCCGCGCGGACCTCCAAAAGTTTCTGTTTATGCAGTTTGTTTTTTTCTTCATGTTCCGCGTCTTCGGCCTCCAGGGGCTTCTGCTGGGCTTCCACGAACTGTCAAAGACAGACTCTGGATGGGAAGCCGCTGGGAAAAGGGTCAGGACCTCTCGGGGCCCCGTAGACATTAGGAGAGAAATCAACCCACCGGATCTCTCGAGGAAGGATTATAAGGATCCACGTGGGGCGCTCCAGCAATGGCCTCGTGCACGAGGGGGATCGAGAGGGGTTGTCTCGGCGTCCCCCCAACATACTTATACTATGTGTTCGTCGCCCCCCCAGGGGCGACGCGCGCACCGAGAAATCTTATAGTATATGCGTCGTGGCGGGCGCTTTCTGGCCACACCGCTCGGGAAACGATATACTACAAGATGGGTATACTATATGTTCGGGTCGGACGCGCGCCTCCAAGGAGGACATATAGTACTAGTATGTCCATGTGCGTCCCACAATGGCCTCGTGCACGAGGGGGATCGAGAGGGGTTGTCCTCTCTTCCTGAGCGGACCGCAGGCGGGGCGGGATGCCGGCGGAAGCGGGCGGAAGTTTCGATGAGGGCGGCTCCGTTGGCGGCAGGAGCTCCGCACAGATACGCAGCAGCACAAAAATCATGCGACGAAGGAGCAGTCCTGGGCGTGGGGTCGCTAGCCCCAGCGAGCGGGCCACGTCGGAGCTTCGGGCACTCATCCTGCCCCGCTTGCTTTTTCCTTTGGTGCCTCACTGCCTCCGTAGCATTTTTGGCTCGATAGTTGACTACGTTTCGACTGGCATTTTTGGCTCGACTGGCATTTTGAGCATATGGCGGCTACGTTCGACTTCACCGGGAAGCGCGCGGTGGTGACCGGCGCGGGCAAGGGCATTGGGCACGACCTCGTGCTGGCGCTGCACGCGTGCGGCGCGCACGTGCACGCGGTCTCACGCACCAGGGCGGATCTGGACGCGCTCCGCGCGGAGCTTGCAGAGGCTGGCGCTTAAGTCGGGCATGTCCCTCTACAGGAGGAACATCCCAAACCAATCCAAACATAGTCTGGGGACGATGTTTCTAGTACTTGTTGTTATTTTTTGTATGTTGTTTGTTTGTTTGTATTTTGTTTGTGACTAGTTTCCGCTGTAGGGGGACATGCCGACATGCCCGACCTAAGGCTGGCGACGCTCGGCTGACGACCTTCGCGGCCGACCTCGGCAACGCAGAGGAGGTCCGGGCAGCGCTCGAGGCAGCGGGCGATATCGACCTGCTCGTCAACAACGCAGCCGTCGCGCTGAATGGGCCGCTGCTCGAGATGTCCGTCGAGAGCTGGGACGCGACGATGGCGGTGAACCTGCGGGCGTGCTTTGTCGCAACTCAGGTCGCGGGGAAGAGCATGCGCGATCGCGGGGTCAAGGGCAGCATCGTCAACGTGAGTTCGCAGGCGTCCCTCGTCGCCACGCCCGAGCACGCCGCGTACTGCGCCTCGAAGGCTGGACTCGACATGCTGACGAAGATGAGCGCCCTGGAGCTCGGGCCGTACGGCATCAGGTGCAACGCGGTCAATCCCACGGTGGTGCTGACCGCCATGGGCCGCGCCAATTGGAGCGATCCGGCGAAGGCAGGGCGGATGCTGAGCAAGATCCCGCTTGGGCGATTTGCCGAGGCTCGGAAAATAGGAAGAAATTGCATAAGCATAGACTTTCGGAGGTCCGCGCGGAGTTCTTGGACTTGTGCTGAACCCCTCCCCCTGGCCGCGCCTGAGGCGCTGCCCCTGGCACGCTCCTCGCGCCAGGGAGGGGAGTCCAACGCTGCTCCAAGGACCTCCGAACGTGAGTCTTTGCACTGTGGTTTCTTATTCTTGAGGTGGATGACGTCGTCAGGCCGATCCTATTTCTCTTGTCGGGGGAGTGCGGCATGGTCACGGGCTCTCTGCTGCCGATCGAGGGCGGCTTCACGAGCACTGCCACTCTCAAGTAGTGAGACAGACTGGCTGTGAATATACCTCCCTGTTCTTTGCTCGCCCTGTTTTCCTCGCCCTCCCTCTCTCCCTTGCCCTAATCTACCCCTCACTTACTCTACCCCCTGCTCGTGTTCCTGCTGCTGCCTCGATCCCCTCCTTCCCCTTCCCCTTTCCCTCATTGAATTCTGTGGGACAAAAGAGCCCAACCAACCGCGAGAATCCGTCGCTGTTTCAGACCTTTCGGAGGAGTTGGCGCTGCGTGCCGAGCCTCCGCGGGATGCTGCCAGAGCTCGGAGCGTTGCCACAGGTTCCCAGACGTCGTGCGCTGGGTCAGCACGGTTCGGACGCATGCCGGCTGTGCATTTTGACAGTCCTTTTCGTACAGTTTTCGCACAAGCTCACAAGACAAGAGGACGCAAAGAAAGCGCCCCAAAAGAACACGCGTGCAGTAAACACAATGAGTCCAAGTTCAACAGATGAACGCTTCCCACCCGGGAACGCGAGGCGGGAGCCCCAGTGAGCACTGCGCCCCACGGGGCCTGGCAGCCGCTGTAGCATCGCTCGTCGGAGAGGCACGGCGGGACACCCGGGGAGCACCGGAACCCCCTGGGCCTGGCGGCTGCGGTACGCAGGGTCTGCGAGGCGCGGGTCGGGAGCTTCTCATTTTCTGGTTCTTCCGATTCCAACGGCCCCAACTCGTGGGGTGGGGGGAAGCAGTCTCGTCCGCGCACGTCCAGCAGCACTCTTGCTGCATGCACCGCGTAAACACGCATGTGTCGGAGCTTCGTGCAGATGTTTTGGATCGGTGCTGGACCCCCGCCCTGGAGGCGAGGTCTCATGATGCCAACATCGCAGAGCGCAATTCGTTTGCAAAAACAATGGAATGGGCCCGGACTGTCCTGGAGAATTTTTTTCTGGATTTCGAAGTGAATTTCGTGAGGATTTTTTGCCAGGAATGAAGACTACAAAACATCCGTGTGACATTCGTTTCGCTCTTCGCTCGCCGTTCCGGGATTTCTCGCGCGGGCAGACGTCCACGCCAAGAAGCCGCTGCAGCGCGACTGAGGACAGGAGGAGGAGGGCGGGGCGAGGGCGAGGAGGGCGAGGGCAGGGTCGGTGCAACGAGAGGTCGAGCGGAGGAGGGCGGGGCGAGGGCGAGGAGGGCGAGGGAGCGGCGGCAGGAGGCGGGAGGCAGCAGGTCGGCGTGGGCTGCCCCCCCCAAAGAAGTCCTCCAGTCTGCCGCGGGCGCGGTGCTCCGCCGTGCGTCGAGGGGCGCGGGGGCCTCCTCCTCCTCCTCCTCCTCCTCCTCCTCCTCCTCCTCCTCTTCCTCATCCATATCTTCCTCCTCCTCCTCCTTCTCTTCCTCCTCCTCCTCCTCTTCCTCCTCCTCATCTTCCTCCTCCGCCTCCTCCTCCTCCTCTTCCTCCTCCGCCTCCTCCTCCTCCTCTTCCTCCTCCTCCTCCTCCTCCTTGGTTGGGGGGGTGAGGCGACGGGGGATCTGACGGGAGGTTTGAAGCATCATGCGGGGTCCCGCCCACGGAAAGAGCCGTGGCCTGGAGGGCGCAGGAGAGGAGCTTCAGTGCCAACGTCGGGTATCAGACATTGTCCCCGAGGGATGGTCGGGAAGGGGAGGAGGGGTGGGGGAGGCGACGAGGTATCCAGGTTCGCGGTGCATCATAGGGACGGGGAAGCGCAACAATGGTTCAATGCGCGTGTGTGAGCGACGGGTCCCGCTTCCGTGCAGTTTCGGCACGCTCCGTCGCCTATTGGCGCCCACGTGCCAGATCCACGGATCCGTACTCCATGTGAGCGCGCGCCCGAAAACAGAGTTGGTGGTTCCAGTTGCGTGAGAGGCTCGAAGCATGATGCGTATCCTAGCCCACGGAAGGAGCTATGGCCCGGGAGGCGTTGAAACGAAGCTTCAGCGCCACTACTCGGTGTCGCACACCGACCCCGCCCGCTGCATGCCCACCCGCTGAAATCAGGAGCCAGCCAAGAGGTGACGATGCGGTGACGGAGTATTGTGACGCAGAGTGGAATGAGGAGCAGGAGGAAGAGGTTAACAACAAGGGTGATGCGGAGGACGAGGACCAGACAGCAGTGAGGGGCGAGGGGGGAAACACGGAAGTGGTTACGGAGGAACGATGGAAAACACCAAGGATGTGGGTGAATGATAAGGATGAAGAGGAGGGAGGGGGGGATCGAGTAGAGGAGGAGAAGGCGACGAAAAGAGAAGGAGGCACGAGAAGGATCATGTGGAGGAGGAGGAGGAGGAGGCGGAGGAGGAGGAGGAGGAGGAGGAGGAGGAGGATTAGAGGGATAAGGACAAGCAGGGGGACGAGGATGGGGACAGGGAAAGCGAGAGGTTAGAGGGATGGAGGACGAGGAGCAGACACAGCGCCAGGAGGGGCAAGGTAAAGAGATATGGGGGACCAGCAGCATCAGCATCAGAGGGATGGGGGCAGGGTAGCTACGGTCAGGGACGCTTGCTTTGCGTGTGGCTACGCATCAGCGCGACTGGCACGCGAACCACGTCCCCATTTTCAAGCGTCAGCGTCCCGAGCCTTTTCCAGCCTCCTGCCCCGCTGAGCGGAGCGACGCGCTATCCGCTTGTAGGCCATAACGTGTCGCCATGGCCGCCGCCGCGATACGCTAAGCAAAAGTTCCTGCTCGTAGCAAAGGACACTGACCCCGACTGCAACACCAAGGAGGCCTGGCCCAAAGAGAAGCAGGCGCCCCGGGGGGCTGATCGCTCCTGTGATCACCAAGAGAGAGAGAGAGAGAGAGAGAGAGAGAGAGAGAGAAAAATATAGAGAGAGAGAGAGAGAGAGAAAGAGAGAGAGAGAGAGAGACACACACACATACACATACACATATAGCCGATACAAAGCAAACGTACACTGTATATCTATATTCCTGTTTTGCTATTCTCATTATCCAGACCCCCCCTAAACCGGACCACCCCTTCCCAGGACACCCCAAACGCCCCTGCCCTCCACCCAACGTACGCCCTGGACGCCCTTTCGGAGTCCCAGCGGCCTTCCGGGCAGTCCCCCCAAGACGGTCCAAGAGGCTCCACAAGGGACCCCCAAGAGCCAAAAATCGTCCCACTCCCTGAGGAAACGTATTCTTTTGAAGATGTTAGCTTGTTCCGCTTTCGCAGCGTCCACGGCATCCCCAGAGACTTTCAAGATCGCCCCAGGACGGCCTCCGAGGCCTCTATGAGCGGCCCAAGGCGGCCCAAAAGAGATCCAAGACGGATCAAGAGAAGCCCAAGGCGGCCCAAGAGGGGCCCCAGAGGGCCCCGAGAACTCCCAAGAGAGCCCCAAGAGAGCCACAGGAGGCCCCCAAGAGTGTCCCAAGAGGGCCCCCGAAAAGCCCCTGGCCGGCCCGGCCTCCCAAAACGGCCAAAACAGGGTTCCGGGACGGCCCAAGAGGGCTCCAAGACGGCCCAAAACAGCTTCAAAAGGAGTCCTCTGGTCCAGAGAGTCACCAGGAGCCCACACCGTTCCAATATAGCTTCCAGCAGTTCCCTCACACTCCACGAGGCCGTAGTTCGCAGGACGGTGGTTCGAAAGGACCGCAGAAGCCCCACGAGCGTCCAGGACCCCTCCAGGCATTCAGGAAGCGACCAATCGTCGTTGTCGCCGCCGCCGCCGCCGCCGCCGTCGTCGTCGTCGTCGTCGTCGTCGTCGTCGTCGTCGTCGTCGTCGTCGTCGTCGTCCTACGGACCTACGGAGGAGCAGGAGGTCTCGGCCTGTCATGGCGGGCTGCCGCCTCATTATTGCGCAGCCCGCTCACTGACGCCCCGAGCGCTCGCTCCCGCGGCCTGCCCGAGAGGAGGAGGCGGAGGAGGAGGAGGAGGAGGAGGACGACGACGACGAGGACGGGCCAAGTTTTTTGAGCGCTTCTGGTCCCATCGGGAGCTTCCAGAGGCCCTCGAGAGACGAGCGCCCCATCTGCAGTTCAGACGAGAGCCCCATCGTGGTCGTCGTCGTCGTCGTCGTTGTCGTCGGCGTCATCGTCGTCGTCGTCGTGGTGGTGGTTGTGGTGGCGGTGGTGCTGGCGATGGTGGTGGTCCTCGTGATCGTGGTCGTATGCGTGGTCTCTGGTCGTATTCGTGGTCTCGACGCCCCCTCTGCAGAAACACGCGATGACTTGTTGTTTTTCCGAGAAGCTTCCGGAACAAGGCGCAAGGCTTCATAATCGTGTATATTTATGCGGCTTGCATTGCTATCAAGATATATTGTGTACGAGGTCATGCATGTATACACATTTGTTTGTTATACATGCATATCGGAGTCTACGCGCGTATGGACACAAACCGTTATACATACAGAACTACTTGCATCGACGAATATCTGCGCCAATACGAGCACTTCGCCCCAAGAGAGCTCATGGAGGGGCTCCAAACAGTTGACGGGAGCCCCAACGCGGCCCAATGGGGCTTTCAGACCGCCCCAAGAGATCCCCAAGACGGTTTAGGGCCGAGACGGTCCAACGTGGCCCTAAGATGGCCCAGCAGGTCTCGCAGACGGCTTCCCAACGGCCCCCAGAGCTCCCTCAGGGAGGGTCCACTCGCAACAAAGGATTATTTCGGCGACGGGCAGATGCATATTTACACACCATGCTTGTACAGAGTGAGAAAGACGCAGAGAGAGAGAGAGACTCATAGACAGAGAGGATGAGAGAGAAAGAGAGCGATCATCTGACTGTCGCTTCGCTGATCCAGCCGTCTTGGGGTGCCCTGTGGCCGTTTTTGGGAGGCCGTCGCCAGCCCACTCTGCGCCGTCCCGGGCCTCCCCGAGGCGTCCGGAGACGCGGCCGTCCCGGGGCCCGTCTTGGGCCGTCCCGTGCCCACCTCGTGAGGCTCGCGCAGCCGTCTTGCAGCCCGTTTGGGGGGGGGGGCGTCGGGTGCTTCGCGGGGGCCCGTGGACGTCGCTTACAGCGCAGGCGCTGACATCTTGAGACGCCCCCAGACAGTGGTTGAAGATCAACTTCAGTTGCACTTACCTGATGTTACCCCAAGTTTGCCAAACATTACCGCCCCTTGGTACCTGGGGCTGTAACTTATCAACGTCGGTGCAAGTAGCTAACTGAACTATTCGGGGTATGCTAGCTGCGGTTCAGTAGTATTGCATCATGGGGGCTTGCGGCGGAAATCGGGAACAACTAAGGGAAGATGTGTGTTTCAGCCATTCTGCATTGTTGGGCCCTCGTCTTGACTCCGCCCCGCCCCGCGTCGGACTCGACTCGGGCGGGCGCTGTTCCAAGCGCGCAGCGCTGAGGGGGGTGCGCGGGGCCGCGGATGGATCGGGTGCCGCGAGGCCCCCCCCCTATGAGGCCTCGGGTTGCCCCCCCCCCCCCTCTCCCCGCCCCTCTCTCCCTTCTCCCCGTGGGGCGCGACCAGCGTGGCGGGTGCGCCGAGGCGACTGCGCGTGCCGCGTGCGGGTCGCGGCGATATCTCGTTTTCAGCGTTGCGCTCCCCACCGACGCACAACGCTACGTTGTGTCCAGCGCGTTGCGCGTCGAAGGCGGGGGCAGGGCAAACGCCGACGCTTTGAACGCGCGCTTGTAGTCGTGGTCATGTTTGCTGCCGCCTGTAGGCGTCCTGCCATATTCTCAAGAGAGCCGGATGCTTTTCTCACTTGTCCTGAAATCCGGCCAGGCGGGACTTTCGCGCCGCATGTTGACGTCATTCGAACGCTCTTGCGAGCGTGCTGGGATGCACGACCCGTGCCAAGTCATACCATGCGGGCCACTGTCGCGCGTCGGCCGCGCGGGCATGTCGAACTCCTTCCAAAAGCTTCATTACCGACGCGAAGACGCCGTCATCGTCGTCGGCGTGATCAACATCGGCACCGTCACTGGCCGTGCCGTCGCCGTTGCCATCATCGTCACCAGCGTCGCTACTACCATCGTCGTGTCTCCCGTGGTCGACGTTGCCATGATACCGCGGAAGGTCCGCTTGGAAGTGCCCAGAGGTCAGCGCCACTGCGGCCGCGTCGGTCGCGCCAAACTAGCTGGCCACTGCGCGCGCGAGCATGCGCGGGTTAGCGCGGCCGCAGAGACGCACCAACCAACACCAAGCACTCATCGCAATCGCTGCCGCATGGGGTTTCCAAACCAAGTTGCGGGTGGGTGGGTGGGATGTTTGCGCGAACAGCGGAGCTGACGACCGTGAGTTCCGCGGTTCGCGCAAACAAAAAATAAACAAATCAGAAACACACATATATATAGAAGGCATGCTACCAAACGGGCGTCGCGCGTGCGCGTGTCGAAATGGTTCGAACGCCCTTGCGCGCGTGCCGTCGCGAAAATCCCCAGCAACGCACAGGACGAAGTGCACGCGCGCGCGCGCCGTCGCGCGCGCATGCCGAAATTCTTCAACATTCTGCGGATTCGGAAGGGTTTCGCAATCGAGTGTTCAAAAACATACAAAGCGTAGGGTTTCGCAGCACGGATGTTCAACAGCAGCGTGCGCACGCTATCTTGCGAACCCGTCAGAAAACCATTAGTTGTCCGACATGCTTCATAACATGCTACCACACGGGCTTCGCGCGCGCATGTCGAAATCGTTCGAACGCCATTGCGCGCGTGTTGGGGTGGCACGATCCGTGTTAGACCCGATCATGCGAGCCACTCTCGCGCGCCTGCCGCGCGCGCATTTCAAATTCTTTCCAAAACCTGCATCGCCGACGCGTCGGCGCCGTCATCGTCGTCGGCGTGATCGGCATCGGCGCCGTCACTGGCTGCCCCGTCGTCGTTGTCAGCATCGTCAACAACACCGCTGCTATCATCATCATCATCATCATCATCATCATCATCATCATCATCATCATCATCATCATCATCATCATCGTGTCTAAAAGTGTCGACGTTGCCATGAGACCGCGCCCGCCCAAGCCGCCGACTCGCAGTCAAGTACCCGCTGCGAACAGAAATTAATTCTCCTTTCTAAAAAGAGAATCGACTCTACCCCCCCCGGACTTAACGCTTCCCCCTGGGATAGTATAATTTTCATATATATATATATATATATATATTATATATATATATATATTTATGCACACTCGTCCATCCTAAGTATAAAATCGTATCATCCCAGCTAGGCCGGTATCCCCCCCCTGAGGTTCCCCGGTGAAAAAACACTATGCGGTGACATGTTTTGTTCTAACAACACTTATCCACGGATCCCTTGCAAAAAATGGGACGAAGTGCGCACGCGCGCGTCGTCGCGCGCGCATGCCGAAATCCTTCAGAAACCTTCGGTGCCGGAAGGATTTCGCAATCGAGCTTCCAAAACACATACAAAGATACAGGGATTCGCAACACTGATTTGCTAAAAGGCTTCCGCGCGAGCTCTTGCGAAGTCTGAAGAAAACAATGGGTTTTTCAAGATTTCACAAAATGCTAGCAAACGGGCGTCGCGCGCGCGCATGTCGAAATCTGTCGAACGCCCTTGCGCGTGTGCCGTCGCGAGAATCCTTTGCAAAAAATGGGACGAAGTGCAGACGCGCGCGTCGTCGCGCGCGTACGCCGAAATCCTTCAAAACCCATCGGTTTCGGAAGGAATTCAAAATCGCGCGTCCAAAAAACCTACAAAAACCCAAGGTTTCGCAACACGGATTTTCAACAAGAACGTGCGCGCGCGCTCTTGCGTCGTCGTCGTCGTCGTCGTCCCCGTCCTCCCTCCTCCCGCGTCGTCGTCGTCGTCGTCGCCTACGTCGTCCTCTGTCTTTCCTCGTGCTCGTCGTCGTCTTCCTCTTTGGCGCCGTGGTCGTTTCCGTCGTCGTTGTCGCCGTGGTCGTCCTTCCTCCTCCCTCGTCGTCGTCGTCGTCGTCCGTCGTCGGCGTCTCGTCGTCGTCCCTCCTATTTCGTCGCCGTCGTCGTCGTCGTTGTCGTCGTCGTTTTCCCTCCTCCCTCGTCGTTGTCGTCGTCGGCGTCGCCGTCCTTCCTCCTTCGTCGTTCGCGTCGTCGCCGTCCTCCCTCCTCCCTCGTCGTTGTCGTCGTTGTCGTCGTTGTCGCCGTCGTCGTCCTTCCTCCTCCCTCGTCGTCGCCGTCGTTGGCGTCGTCGTCGTCGTCTTCGTCGTCGTCGGCGTCGGCGTCGTTGTCGTCGTCGAAGTCGTCGGAGGCGTCGTCGGTGTCGTCCTAGTCGTTGTCGTCGGTGTCGTCGTAGTCGGTCTGAACAGGTTTTGCAAACCAAGTTGCGGGTGGGTGGGTGGGATGTTTGCACGAGCAGTGGAGAGGACAGCTTCAAGACAGTCAAAGTGGATTGCACAACATACATTGCCCCACCTAGGTGGCACAGCAGATATTGCTCGAAATTCACGGTTGGGGGCCCACGCTAAGTAATACATATATTTGTACCCATATACCACCACCCTTGGACACCCTACCGAGCAGCGGCGTCGGGTCCTCGCTTCGAATCCGCGGCACCCCGCTTCCCCTCGCCCCCCACCGCCGCCCCCCAATCCCTCCAGACGCCGCTCCTCCCGATCCCCTCATTACCTCACCCTTTGCCCCACTCCTGCCAACCCCCGCCCCTCCCCAAAAACTCGATACCCATGCGCGGGCCCCGACTCAGCGCGCGTTCTTCGCTTGCGTGGACCCTTCCTGCAGCAACGTGCTGCGTCGCATGTCTTGCCAGGGGTAAGGGGCGCCAGCGGTGGGCTTGCGCGCCTGCGCCGATGAGTGATGATCGCCATGGGCGCGTCGTGGGTCTTACTGGACGCGCCCCCGCCGTTCTCGGCGGCATTCTGCGTTCCTTTTTGCGCGCGCGGTAGGCCGCCTTCGCCGCGGCGTGGGCCGCCCTCCTCCCTTCACGGACGCGTTCGACAAAAATTTTCTGGACGCGATCCAGATCACAGCGCGCGTCCGCGCTCCTGCGCTAAGGGGCAGCCCCTCGCTTTTGGGGACCACCCCGTCCACCGGGCCGAATCCGACGAAGGCGAGGCCGAGTTGTTTGGTTTCCGCCCCCTCTGCCGCGGCAGCGCCTTTTTCTGCGGAAACGGTGTTCTGTGTGCTGCCTCTGGAGGTACCCCAGGATCAGGGGTGGACAGACCTCTTACCTGACACGTCGATTAAGGAATTGGCCGCTTTCGGTTCGCGAGAGGGCGTCGCGGCCGTCATCTTTGCGGGTCCAGGTCCGTCAGTTTCGGTCCCAGGCCGTTTTCACTAAGGGGAGGTCTACTAAAGGGAGATTTGTCCACCGCCGACAGGAGGCAAAGCAAACAACAAGCGGGTGCGTTGCAACCAGTCAAACGCAAACGCGCTGTTCATTCATATCCACCAGGCGCGATCGGCCCAATGCCTCGAACTCCACAGCACCAGTTTGAAGCGCAAGCGCGTGCACAACATTGAGGGTGTGTAGCGCAATCTTTGGCAAACCAATATTTCACGTCCCGCATCAAGCGCAAGTGCTTCGACTCTGCTAGCGGCCAAGGGTATATTTGCAGCTCGCCTGCGGAATCGCTTCAATAACGAGAGCTGTGAGGCGGAAAGATTGCAAGTTCGTTGGAAGTGTTTGTAAGCGATCTGTTTTCCCCATGCAGGATTTCTATCTTAATGCAACATGCGATACAGTTCAACCACCTTAGCATAACTTAGCATAGCTTCCCAGACTCTATATTCGACACCTCATTGAGGAACAGCTCGAGTTGGGGATGTGTTCGTTCATTCCAGGGTGTTTCCTCGCGCTCTCGTGCACCCGGGTGTCTGGGGGCCGAACAGGGGCTTCGTTCCTCATTTAGCGTTCCTTTGGCCTTTGAGGTGCCCTGTTGGGCCGTGGTGGCGATTTCTTGAGCCATCGTGAGGCCACTTCCTTGGGCCGGCTTCGAATCGGCTTGGGGGTTGCTGGTATCCGTTTTGGATTCCACCGGGGCGGTCTTGGGCCCTTCTTGGGGCCCCCTCGGGCCTGTCTTGTTGGGGCGCTCCGGGTTCGGCCTTCCCTTTCGCAGGGGAAATTGTGGCGGGCATTTTTGTTTGCCTGGTGTCAGCTGATCCGCTCAGCCTGTCTGCTGCCTGCATCTCTGTCCTCCCGTCTTTCCATATCTCCGCACCCCCGCCTCTCTGTCCCGTGCCCTGTTCCTGTCCTGGCCTTTCTACTCGAACTGGTCCTCCAGGGGCCAAGTCCCCGTCCCCGGGACCATCAGGCAACGGCCCCGGCTGCAAACCATGTTTTGGGGGAGTGGAGGCGAGGCCGCAGAAGAGCGGCATGGACACGCGCACCCAAGGGTGCGTGCACGCGATGCGGCGCTCAGGACTGGTGCTGCGAGCACAAGAACAAAGGCTGCGAGATGGACAGCAGCGGCGGCGACTACCCGGCGAGGGGAGGGGTCCAGGATTGGGAATGAGGGGTGATTTTCGGCCCTCCTCCTTCTTCTGCCCCTCCTCCCCTCCTCCTCCTCCTCCACCTCCTCCTCCACCTCCTCCTCCTCCTCCTCCTCCCTCCTCCTCCGCCCCTCCTCCTCCTCCTCCTCCTCCTCTCCTCCTCCTCCTCCTCTCCTCCTCCTCCTCCTCCTCCTCCTCCCTCCTCCTCCCTCTCTCCTCCTCCTCTCCTCCTCCTCCTCCTCCTCCTCCTCCTCCCTCCTCCTCCTCCTCCTCCTCCTCCTCCTCCTCCTCATCCCCCTCACCGTGTATCTTCCAGCTGCAGAGCACATCAGATGTTTCGTCATGCTGGGGGCCTCTCCTGAAGCATGGTCTGTGATGGTGACGATGCTGGTGATGAGCGGGGCATCGCAAACGGGCAGCGCGCAACAGTAGCAGTGCATCAAGTAACTTTGGCTGGCAGAGTCTGGCCAACGGCGCGACGCATCCGCAATGGCGCACTTTAACCAGTGATTGCGGTACCACCGCAGTCGCAGGCAAATAAATACCACCTCCATTGCTGGAGGTGCCATTAATTTGCCCGCGACCCTTGCGGTGTGCCAGATGGCGCCAGGCATTTTCGCACAGTGGCGAGCGAAGCCTGTGGCGCAGTCTCACTGTCAATCGGTATCACTACCCGCCTCATACTCGATGTCGCAACCCGTGACCAATCGATCCCACTATCGATGCCACCAGCGAACTTATGTATCGGTATTCACATCCACGCCAGTGATTGCGCCACCGCCGACGTCGCGGGCAAATGAGTGCCACCTCCACTGCTGGAGGGGGCATTTCTTTTCCCGCGGCCCCTGTGGCGCGCCAGATAACCGAAGGCATCGTGTCACAAAGCCGCGGGCCAGTTCAAAAGACCAGAGCGGGCCCCGAGCGTGCGTCAAAGCGACCTCGCCGCCGGCCCAGCAGACCAGCGCTCGTCTTCTCGGGCACGAGCAGCGGGTGCGGCGCAATGCAGGACCCGCGTCCACAGTTGTTGGCACCTCACCGACGCTGGCACAGCCCGATGCGGTCATCAAGCGCCTCCTGACAGATACACAGGGCCATGCGTCGCGACGGCCCGCTGCCCGGTCGCGATGCGAACGGCCAGCTCCAAGGCAACGACCACCAGCTCGTCTGCGCACTCTTTGGCGGCCAGCTTCTGGACCCAGCGAAGGCACATCGCCTCGGCGCGCGCAGCGCTCCTCACTTGCAGGCTGGCGAGTGCCTGATAGATCCTGGCCCTCATGCCGGCCCTGACTAGCACCGCGGCGTCGCCGCCGCAAATCCCGTCCAGAGGGCCTCCGCCACGACGCCCGGCGGTTGAAAGCGCGCGCCAGTATCCAAACATCGCTGCAGGTCCTGCGCTCTTGGTTCGCTCACCGCTTGCCGCGCCGGACTCTCGCCAGGCAGAGCCTGGGCCAGAAAGCGCGGCGAGCATTCGGCCAAACCGGCCGCCAGGCACAACCAGGGGCAAACGCCTGTGGTTCCCCTGCCCAGAGCCCACGCCCGCAGGTCGAGCTTGAACACGGCGCGGGCGTGCTGCGACCGCTGCGTCAACATCTGGTCTTCTCCCAGCTTCTCGCAGTCCGCGCCCCGCACCTTCTCTCAGCTATGGCGCCAGAGCCGTTGTTTTGCGTCGTTTGGTGCGCTGTGCATCCAGGCCGTTCAGCGACAACAGAAGTGCGTGCCCGCATTGGAATGACGTCTGCTCTAGCGCGCGGATAATCTCCGCCTCTTTGAAGCCCATCTCGTTCATAGTCTGCGCCGTGGCGCCTTCAGCCGCGCTCTCATCCGTGGCGCCGCCCTTGGCTCCGGCGTTGCGCAAAGGCCCCGTGGGCAGGAGGGCTTCCCCTCTCCGCGCGAAGCGATGCCGCGAGACTGCGCGGCTTTGCGACCCGACTTCTCTTCGCGGTACTGCGCGACGCTGTGCGAGACCGGCGTCTCGCCCGCAGCAGGCAGCATCGCCCGCGAGTCTGCAAGCTCAGCGCCGGTCGGTTCACGCCCGTCGTTTGCCGCGGCCACGGCTCGGAGGCGCCTCTCATGAACGGCCCGCAGCGCCTCGGGAGAAGTGCCGCGCCTCTCGACGAGCTCTGCCTGCCAACGCGGCGCTGGCCTGGGGCGCGACTTCTGGTCTGGCGGAGAGCTTGGTGGCCAGGCGCGCAGATGGGGACTTTGCCAGGGGCGTGGGGGGGCTTCTGAATAGCCATCGAGCGCCAGTTCACGGCACGCGCCCACGCCGCGAAGGCCGCCCCGAGCTCCCCCGCTGGCGCGGGCCCACTGCGCCCGGCAGAGGACGCGATGCAAACGCAGTGGGCCGCCATGCCTCGCGACTTATTAACTTATGGACGGCAAGGGCCCGCGCCGCGCGCCAGGGCACACTCGCGCGATTCGGCGACGGCTCAACTTTACGTCGCGCCCCCGCGCGCGGAATCGGCGACCAGGCCTCGGCTCGGGCAGGCCCTCGGAGCAGTGGGGGCCCCTGCCTCCGGGGAGTGGCACGGCCGCGAAGTGTCTTCCGCTGGGCGGGCCGGCCCTCGGGGCCCCCCTCGGCGTGGAGCTGGGGTGCCCGGTGCTCTCGATGCCGCTCTCGTCAGCTCGTATCCCATCGGGGGACTAGACTCAGGAGGAACAAAAAATACACAGACACAATTAATCGTCGACCCTCCAGAAGATCTGGGAAAATATGGGAAGTGGGAGGGAAGACAATAACCCAGAAAATATAGGGAAATATGGGGAATCCTCTTATTTGCATGTATTTATTTGTGTGTCCCAGGGCCTCTTCATAGACGATGGCCGCAACTATGCCCCTGGGCAAATCCCAGACGCGACTCTCTGTCAGCATCATTCGCGCCCCCACGCACAGATGCAGTGCCCTGGCGGCCAGGAGCTCTTCGCTGATCTTCCTGGCAGCCACGGTCTCCGGGATCAGGAGCATTTTTCCTTGCGGGCCAACTTGTCGCCCCCCCTCGCGAAGGGCACGGGCTGGCAGAGCCTGGCGCGTCCAGTTCGCGGGTCCTCCCGAGCTAGTAGTCCCCCTGCGCAACCGCCGCGTCTCGGAGTCTCATATTGGCGACTCTCTGAACATGTCGACGCTCTTCCGGCGGTGAGTGTGGCGCAATCGCACGAGGTCATCTAGCTCGGCGAATGTCTGACGTCTGGCTCATGCCGCGGCTCTAACGACGGGACCGAGTCCTGGGGGGCAAAAAATAACCACCGCGATGAGAGCCATCGAGGAAAGAGTTGGAGTGATCCATTTTTCTATAGCGCATCCAGCGAGTCCTTGGGGCACCCGACTGAACGAGGTGGCATTTATTTTCTCGCGCGTTCTTCACCTTGACAAGAAGACGCTAAGTTCATGCAAGCCACACGGTACCGCAAGACACCACGGAGCGCCACAGGACACCACCATCGATCTCATCATGGATCTCGCTGTCGGCTTCGCTATCGACTTATCTATCGGTCTCACGCTCGATAAATGTATCGTCCCATCTATCGATAGTGCTGCCTCTCTCGCACTCGATCTCACGATCGACTGCACCATGGATCTCGCGTTAGATTTCACTACAAGGCACCAGAGCACCAGGCATACCGGTGACACCACGTGGCGTTCCTTTGCACGCGCGCCCGTCCCTGTGAAATATGGCAGCGGGAGCAAGCAAAACCACGGGGCACCGCGAGACACTACGGGACACAACCAACGATCTCGCTGTCGATACCACTATAGGTAGCATGTCTTTGCCCGGCCCCTCTCTTCTTGGGGACATTCGGGGCCTAAGAGACGGGGGTCAATGCAAACGGGGGTCCGCCAGGGCACCAGATCATGCAGGATACTGCGAAGCCCCCCTCTGGCTGACCCGGGTTAGCGAGCCGCTCGTGGCCGCGAGGCGGCCGCGCGTATTGGCTGACCCGGGTTTGCGGCGAAGACTTGCGATGCAGTTTTTGTTTCTTGCACTGCAGTTTTTTGGTTTCCTGCTGACCCGGGTCTGGATTGACCCGGGTCAAGATCCCCGAGACATTCTACGAATCTACAGGGCGATATGCTTGGCCATTTACCTGCCACTCCGGATACCCGTCAAACAGCATCGGGGCAATTGGCGGAACGAAGTGGCCCGGGCGCCACTTCCCTCTGGGAGAATGCACGTATTAAGAACATGTAGGGCCACAGGGCACCAACAGACACCACGGGGCACAACAGAAAACCATTGTCGACCCCACTGTCGGTCTCCTCTATTTATCGATCTTTCCATTTATCGATCCCGCAGCCTACCTCAGTATTTATATTACTGTTGTTCCCACTTACGATCTTTCGATACCACTATCGATCTCAGCCTCTACTTACGATCGATTTCAGTATCGCTCCCATTATCGATCTTACATTCGATCTCATTCTATGTATCGATACACATGTATTCTGACGTCAGACAATCGAATTCACTGTCGAAGCACTTTCGAATTGCTCACTGATCTCACCAGAAAACATCTCTCTCTATATCTACCTATTGATCTCGCTATCTGTATCACTATCGATCTCACGATCGATCGTTGTATCGATCTCCCTCCACCGATCGATCCCACCGACCAACGATCCCATAATTTCCCTCGCTACCGATCTCAATATCGATTTGTCGATCGACTATCGATCTCACTACCGACCTCACTACTCATCTCACCATCGATCTCATTCAATCGATCTCAATATGGACCTCACTGGATACTGCGCCTCGGGACACCAAGGGACATTGGCGGGCCAGCCCCGAACCACCGCCGGCCAATCGGGGGATGAGAGTCATTGAGCCCAGTTTCGCCTTAGCAACGGCGGGTTCATGTCACTGGCCGCCCACGCATCTTCGTCTCGCCCGCACGCGCGACACGAACACGAAACCGAGACGGATGTCCTGGTGTTGGGGGCTCTCCGTTTCACTGCTATCACACCCCCAATCTTCCGATTTCTTTGAGTGGCATCACCGCAGCTCGGTGCCCATTTCAGGGATTCCCTCAGTGCGCATCCGCAGGGTTGCCATCGCCTTGGACGTGCCAGTAGCAGGGATCGGGGTAAGCTCGAGGCTGATCAGTTAGTCCTGCTCCTGTTGCTTCCCCCCCACCCACCTCCCCTCCCCCCCTCCACTCCTATCCTGAAGTCCTTCCCCGTCGGAGACATGTATGTTCAGCACTTTGAATATAGAGACGGGCAACATGTAGAAGTAGATGCCTTGGACTTTCCAGAAGGAGGCTACCTATTCTCTGATGGTAGTTGCTGTCATAGGGGATAAACCTTGGGTGGCTCGCGCAGGCTGGCGTGCATGTCAGGCCAACGAAGACGGGGACCCCATGCGCTGGGTCCAGGGGCCCACGCCGCCCTCCCTCAACCAGACAGCGCCGGCAGAAGAACACTCCGGAGCTGTAGCTGCCAACGGGGCCTGTGGGTCCAGAGAGGCGTCGTCCCCCTCGTATGTGGGCTGCCAGGGTCTCATAGACGGTGCTACCGACCTGCTCAGAGCACGCAGTCACATCAGTGCACATGCTGCGTATTGACGACTCGCAGGGCCTCTGAGAAAGGATCTGCAGAAGGTGAAGGCTCATAGAGATGAGTCTGATGCACTGTTGCCCCAGGAACTGCTGAAGATCCGTGGGAATGGCCATGCAGACAGCAAAGCCGAAGATGGGGCTAGCAATAATAATTCTGCTGCTGCTGATGCAAAAGCTTTTAAACAGAGCTCGGAGCTTTTTAAACAGGCTGCTGTAGCTATGTTAACGATCCTCGATATGTAGGCGCCTACTGAAGAGCTGTACAGTTCCTTTGGGCCCTGGGGGGGGGAGAACAGCACCCGCATGACCTCTGGCCATCAGGAGTCAGGAGAAGGTGGAGGGGGAGGAGGAGGAGCAGGAGGAGGAGGACGAGGACGAGGAGGAGGAGGAGGAGGAGGAGGAGGAGGAGCAGGAGGAGGAGGAGGAGGAGGAGCGCAAATCATGGCCCGAGGCACGTGCGCGGCCCGCGGATGGAGGACAGGGGGACGCCCGGCGCTGTGCGCGGGCGCGCCATCGCAGCTCGGCGGGCGCCCGCCTCGCAGCGCGTGCGCGCCCCTCGGCATCCGCACCTTGCTCGGCCTGTGCACCTGCGGGTGCACCTAGGCAGGCGTGCCCCTCGTAGGGCGCAGCTCTGCGTGCGCACGCGCTCCTCCTCTCGTCTTCCTCCCCCCGCCCTCCTCCCCCTCCCGAAGTACCCCCCTCCTCCATCCCTCCCCTACTTACCCCCCCCCTCCTGCCCCCTCCCTCCTGCCCCCTGCCCACTTCCACCGTCTGCCCGCCCCGGCCTCCCCCCATGCTCTCCTTCTTCCCGTGCCCCTCTCGGCGCAAACTGCTCTTCCTGGGCCACCTCGGCCGGGACGCCTCAGACCACCACCTCGCCGGCCACGCACCCGAACCCGGACGGGCACGACTGCGACACCAAGGAGGTCTGGACCAAGGAGAAACAGGCGCCATCGGTGGGGAGGCAGGCTCGCCTCACCGTTGAGAGGGGAGGGGAGAGAGGAGGAGGAGGAGGAGGAAGAGGAGGAGGAAGAGGAGGAGGAGCAGGAGGAGGAGGACGAGGAGGAGGAGGAACGAGAGGAGGAGGAGGAGGAAGAGGAGGATGAGGAGGAGGAGGATGAGGAGCAGTGTGAGCCCAAGAGTCATCAGCGATGTTGAAAATAAACCCTCTCTCCAAGCTCCCGCTTCATATGCCCCTACAAGCATTTATGCCCACTGAGGGAACTGCCTCGTTGGAGGACAACGGTTTGAGGACCCTGAAGCATGCCAAAACAGTTTCCTTGGGAGTCCAAAGCCACGGATTAACCTGACTGTTGCTGACGATCCTGAATCGTGCCAGAAACCATTTTTGGGACTTCGACACCGCGAGTCAAAGTAGTTATTGCACCCGCATAATCCTGATTCTTTCCTGAACACCAATACTCGTACGTTGACCATGGGAATACTCGCACGTTGACCAAAGGAATGTGCGCGGCGCTAAGGCGAGAGCCACATTTTCAAAGGAGCCGCCCTTCTTCCGTGAAGCTCTTGCACATGTTTAAAGCGAATGTGCGCGGCGTTGAGGCGAGAGCCACATTTTTGAAACGGGCCGCCCTCAATCCGTGAAACTCTTGCAAATGGTTAAAACGAATGTGCGCGGCGCTCAGTCGAGAGCCACATGTTGAACACGACCCGCCTCCATCTTTGAAACTGTTGCCAATGTTTAAGCTTCAGGGTCGTACACGGTGAAGAAGTCTCAGGCGCAACGCCCGGCCCGCCCTTTCGACCGGCCTCGGGGTGCGACAGGGAGATGTCATGTACAAGGAGAAGGACTTGAAAGAGAGGAGGATGGCGAGGAGGAGGAGGAGCAACGAGAGAAGAAGGAGGAGGAGGAGGAAGAAGATGAGCAGGGGGATGGGGGAGGAGGAGAATGACGATGAGGAGGAGGAGGAGGAGGGGGAGAAGGAAGAGGAAGAGGAGGAGGAGGAGTGCGTTTTTTTTGTGGGCGGTCGTCGCTACGGGTTTGGCCTCTGGACTCACAATCTGCCGCGTCCAGATTGGGAAGTGTTGGCATTAGGCGAAAGAGGAGGAATAGGGAGGATCAGGGATGTTGGCATGAAGCCAACGAGCCCTGAGGGAACGGGCATTGAGGCTTTTCGCGATTTCCGTCTACCAGGATAACAATACCCTCTTGCTCCCTCAGCACGAAAGCGTCAGTATCGAAGGTGGGGTCAGGGAACGAACCTAGCTGAAGCGATGTTCGTCTAACCCCACGTCTGCACTCCACCCATCATGCACGTTCCCCCGATCCCCAGGGCCTGGGACCGCCAGAAAACAATCATGACAAGCTGGCCTTTGGGGGGGTGAGCAATGCCCCGGGGTTCAGGGCCCGTGGCCCTCAGCACCTCAAGGTCGCACGTACGAGCGACCCTTCGCCAGAGGCTAGCACGGCTTCTGGTGCGCGGCTTTCGGGAGGCGGGGGTGCGCCAAGCACGAGCACGTGGGGCCCCACCGCCGCATCGCTGGCGACGATCGACAGGCCGCGCACAGGCCTAGGCTCACTCCAGCACGTAGCGAGTTCTCGCATTTGTCGACGTCGTTGTCCCACAGAGAATGCCAGCTGTGAGATGGGACGCCGTCGGTCCCAGCAACGCGCCGTACTCAACTTCGTTGGTTACCCTTTATGTTCTGGCCAACGCTTTCGGGCCCACATCGATCCCCGGGCACTCCGCTTCGTTAGGCGGGTTTGGCAGTGTGACGTGTTCTTCAGAGGGATGCCATGGCACGCTTTCCATAAGCATATACAGAACAGAGTGAGGGGGCCGAACGGTCATTTGTTGTCCATGGGCGCGTGGCTGAAGTGTGGTTCCGCGGTGCGGATTGTTGTTATTGATGCTGAACTGTCATATGTAAAAGTAATTAATCCGCCATCCAGTAATTATTGTATGTTTCACGTTCAAGTGTCCCCATCGGCATTCGCACCCTGTGTTTTATCAGGGGCAGCTTGTGCCATCAAACTGGGCTACAGGGCCCCGAGTTACAACAACAACAACAACAACAACAACAACAACAACAACACCAACAACAACAACAAGAACAACAACAACAACAACAACAACAACGGCGCCCGCCTGACACTTCCTCACACTGTCTTTCAAACATCCGCTTTCGCACGGGAAGTCATCACAATGTATGTTGTTTGAACGCCGCGCCCTCGATACTCAGAACTCACGCTTTCGCGCTGACCTGTCTTCACGATGTACTTGGGCATCGCTCTATCACTCGAGCTCTCCCTGCGATTCATGCACTACTCACGCTTCAGCAACACGCCTTCTCGACCTGTCCGCTTGGGCCCACCTTCCCGACCTGCCCGTTAGGGTCTACCCGCCCCATGGGCTCGTCTGGTTCTGCCACGTGTGTTCTGCACCTAGCCCTCCTCCTGCTAATCCCGTGCTCCATCCTTCTCCCTCCCCGTTCCATCCGTCATTTCTTCCCTTCTTCCAGTGAAACACCAATTACACGCGGCAGGTAAAGGAAGATCTACCCGCACGGGGTGCGATCGAAGACGAAGTGGGCGGCTACTGAGAGTTTGGGATATACGTGTTGCATGGCACGAGAGCAGGCAAGAGTGATCAGTCTTAACCTGAATGGTGTCCTTGTTGTTATTGGTAGTGCTGCTTTTGTTGGTGCTGTTATTTGTGTAGGTGTTGTGGTTATTGTCGTTGCTGTTGTTGTTGGTGTTGTTGGTATTGTTGCTGTTGTTGCTGTTGCGTCGTTGTTGTTGGTGGTGTTTTTGAATGCTCAGTTCGTAAGAATAATCATTGTTGGTCCCCCCTGGTGCCCAGTGTGGCTCGCAAATGGTTTTTTACAAGGGAAAGTCTTGCGGCTCAGATTGGATAGTTGGCCCCCGAAGCTCCCTCTCGATAACTCCCTACAAGGGACATCCTCTCAATTTGTTGAAACGCCGCGCCCTCGACACTCAGAAGTTGACGGCGGCGTCGGCTGGGTTGCGGGTCATGTGGTAGAAGAGGCGAATGCGTGGACCGTCATCCTCAGCGTAGGCGAGCACCTGGTCGTGGCCCAGGCGTTGCTTCTCCGTCTCGACGCCGCCCAGGGCGTTCTTGCACTTGAGGTTGACGATGTACTTGAGGATAATGTCATCGAGGGCGGGTATGTTTACGTAGAAGGATCTTGCCTGTGGTGATGGTGACCTTGCCCCTGGCGGGGGAGGTGGCTGCTGGCTTCTGGCCGCCATAGGTGGGTTCCTCATCATGTTCGCGTTGACGTCGCAGAGTCACTCGTCATTGTTGGCAGCCACTGCTCTCTTCCATCTGGGTCGCAGCAGGGTGTCGCCGAGGTCGCCCCATTCCGACTCGCGAAGCTCGAGGTTGCGGAAGTGCACCCGGGCGTTTCAGTGAGCTGGGATTTTTGGCTGGGTCGACGATCCATGGCCGAGGCGCTGGCTGCTCTTGCCGAAAGTCAAGCGGCAAGCCGGTCGGGAGGTTTGCTTGCCTCAGTGCCTGTGCCAGCGCGTGTTCGGTCCATGTTTATAGGTCGGCAGGTCAACTGGCGGTGGCGGGCAGTTCAGTGGCGGTGGATCTCTCTGGGGCTGAGGGCGATGTGCGCGGTCGAGGGACAAGACTCGGATCGCAGTTTGGGGGGGGGGAGTTGCCAGGATTCGGCGGGGGCCGCGATCGCTCTGCGCGCGCCAGCTGCGCGTCGGGCACGCGGGGGGCGATGTCCCTCGCGAGCGTCCGCTGGGCAAACCCGGATAGCTGCAGCAGCGCATCGTAATCGTCTTTGTCATTGTTGTAGAAGCGGCCCCGCATCCTGGCGAGCATCTTGTCACCCCCCTCGCCGACGCCATTCCTGATGTGGGACGCGAGGCCGTGGATGCCCTCCACCGCAGTGTTCGCGCAACCGAAGACGAGGACGATGCTGGGCTCCCTCCGGTTGACCGGCTCTGGAAGGGGGCGGCCGCATGATTGTGATGGCCTCGGGTGGTGGCAGCATGTCGTGCTTGGCACGCTGGTCCTCGATGCCTTCTTCGTGTGCGACGTCTGCTGGTGCGTGACGTGTCATGCTGGCAATATATGTAGCCACTGAGGGTTACTGCACCGTGTCGGTGGTCTCAGCTGGACTCCGCATCGTACCCAGCTGGTCTCGTCGTAGTGGTTGATGGGGACCCTGAGGTCCGTTTTGAAGTTCTGCAAGCGACGAGCTCCTCGTCGCCCATTTCGACCAGAGGCGCGAGGTCACCGTTGGGGTATCCGTTTGAGTCTAAGGTGTGAGATGGACGTTCTTGCGCTCGAAGATGAGGTTGTCGCCGAGAAGACGCATCGCCCTTGCCCGCTTGGTGGTCACGGTATCCGCGAGGTAGAGGAGGAGCGGCAGTGTTTCGCTCGGCTCCTGCAAGTTGCGTTTCGGGCCGGTCGCGCGTAGGAGGAAGGAGACGCGGCCGTAGGACTTCGAATGGATCGCCTCCCGTTCCGCTTCTTGTAGCTCTGCGCGCTTCTAGACTTGGGCGCTGAGGATCTTGTGGGCCTGCTCGGGTTTGTTGCTGTCGGCGCCATTCGGTCCCGTCTGTGGTGGTGCGACGAGGACCCGGTCGGCCCCGACAAGCTCAGTTGCCCTCACGGTAGAGCAGCGATTAATTAGCGCCTTTCGCTCCGCATCGCGTGCAGTTCCATGCAGCTGCGTTTCGGTTGAACGGTTCACGCGGGGGTTCCATAGTTGGGTATGCGAGTGGGCCTCTCTGCGTAGTGACCGTTCATGTCCTCGATATCGGGTCTGGTCCTGTTCCTGTTGGAGAAGTTGTGGGTCGCGTCGGTGGCTCTCTCTGCGGTGCCCCTCTTCGTTGTGTGGTTGGTCGAGCCAAGGTATGCGATCGCCTAGTGGTGTGGTGTTCATCCACCCGTTCGGTGTGTTGGTGAGACCGAAGACTGATCCAAGTTTCAGTGCTGCATAGATGCGCTCCCTGCTGGAGGTGGCTGACGGAGCGCCTTGATGAGATCTGTCGGGCGCTCGTGCGACCGCCCAGGCGACTTTCCGTTGGGGCTGGCTGGGTGAAGCGAGGGCCCCTGCTAAAGCTGGCTGGAGGGCTGGCTGCTTGAAGCGAGGGCCCAGGCGGCTTTCCGTTGGAGGGATGTAGTCGAGCAGCTCAACTCTTTCTCGCATGTGCGGTTCGTAAAGGACTATCAGTTGGTCCTGCTGCTGGAACTGGGGAGCCGCGCTTGGTGTGACCTGCCCGCCAATGATGTTCCAGTTGAAATGCAAGCTCTGCATTCTAGGC